CCTTCTAATTCCAGATTTCCTCCATACAGGGGTGTGTGTGTGTGTGTGTGTGTGTGTGTGTGTGTGTGTGTGTGTACTTGTGTGGTTGGGTTGAGTACCATTACTTGTTTCCTCAAAATGGTGTGGTGAGGGAAGAGGTAGTTGCATGTCTTGGCATGTATTACAGTAGCAGCAGGGGAATTGCTAAGTAGATCTTGGGACATAAGCTTATGGGTCACATCATATAGCTCTCCAAAAGCTCGGAACTGCTGGGGGCAAAAGCAGTAATTAGAGATTTACCTTCTTTTCTGTTACCTTGTTAAGGTTCATAGCATCTTGGTCTATAAAGGAAGCTGCAATTATTTTACCTCTTGTGAATTATTCTTATTTTGGAGAGTCTTGAGAGATCATGAGGATCACAGAAAATGGCTAGTCTTCCATATTGTTGATCACCTCATGTACTGATTGTCTATCCCTGGAAAGAGAGACTAAAATATAAAAACATTTCATCTTAATGGTGATGAACAGTTTCACTGTGTATGCTGAGACCAAAAAAAATTTCTATTATTGTCAAAATATTGTGGAAAAAGCATATACTCTTTGACCCAGTGATATTGTTACTGTGCTTATTTCTCATGGTGATAAAATAAGTAGAAAAATGACTTAAATGTTCAAAAACACTTGTAGTAGCTTACTTTGTTATAAGTTTAGGGGTGCTTATCAATTGGTAAATGACTAACAAAATAACCCCTGTCTCAAATGAGGTAGTGGCCTTATTCATTATCCAGGCTAATCCCTCTGTTTAAGCCATCCTATTCCATGCCCATCACCTCCAACACATTCTCCCTCTGTCATCCCTACTCTTTCACTTATTTTCAATCTCTCTGTATATTGGATCATTTCATGCTGCCTACAAACATGCCTATGTCTCCTCCATCCGGAAAATCACCCTCCATCCTTGCCAATTATAATCCTATATCTCTTCTGCCTTTTGTAACTAACTTCCTCAAAAAGGTCATCAACAATAGGGGCCTCCACTTTCTCTCCTCTCACTCTCTTCTTAGCTAACCTTACACTCTAGCTTCTAACCTTATTATTCCACCAAAACTGCCCTCTCCAAAGTCGCTAATGATCTTGTAGTTGACAAATCCAATGGCCAGGTTTTCTTGGTCTTGGTTCTCCTTCACCTCTTTGAAGCCTTGGATACTGTTGATCACTCTCTCCTCTCTAATACTTTCTTCTCTCTAGCTTTGGGGACACAACTCTCCTGGTTCTCCTCCTATTTATTTGACCACTCCTTCTCTTTCTACTTTTCTGGATTCTCTTCCAAATCACTCCCTCTAACCATAGATCTCCCTCAGGGTTAGATCCTGGGCCCTGTTGTCTTCTGCCTATGTACTACTTGACTTGGTAATCTCATGAACTCCTGTGTTTTTAATTGCCATCTTTATGCTGATGATTTTCAAATCCAATTATTCTGATCCTAACTCTCTGCTGATCTCTAATCTTACATCTCTGACTGCTTTTCAAACATTTTCAACTGCATCTCCAGTAGACATCTTAGACTCAATATGTCCAAAACTGAACTCATTTCCCCCATTACACCCTCCTTACTTCCTACCTTCTCTATTACTCTAGTGGGCATCACCATCCTCCTAGTCCCTCAGGCTTGTAACCTACAAGTCTTCCTAGATCCCTCACTATCTCTCACTCCCCTCCCCCATTAGCCAATTTGTTGACAAGGTCTGTGGTTTTCACTTTTGCAGCCTTTTTTGAATATATACTCTTCTCTCCTCTGACATAGCAACCACTCTAGTGCAGGCCTTCATTACCTCATGCTGTCTGAATTATTTCAACAGACTGCTGGTGAGTCTGCCTACTTCAATTCTCTCCCCAATCCAATATATCCTTTATTAAACTATTAAAATAAGTATCATAAAATGCAGACCCAATCATGTCACCAGCACCCCTACCCACACGTAATAAACTCCAGTAGTCAAATACTAAATGCTCTGTTTGGCATTTAAATTCCTTTGCAACCTAGCCCTTTCCTGCTTGATATATACTCTTTGATAAGGTGACTGTGGCCTTCTGTCCCTCAAACAAGATGCTCCATCTTTTAGCTTTGGGCATTTTCTCTAGTTGTCTCTCATGACTGGAACTCTCTCCCACCTCTGTTCTGAGTACTGACTTCCTGTGGTTCCTTTCAGTACTAACTAAAATCTCATCTTCTATAGGAAACTGTCCCTAATCCCTCTTAATTCCAGTGCCTTCCCTCTGTTACTTATCTCCTATTTATCTTGAATACAGGTTGTTTTGTGTATATTTGTTGTCATATTTTCTTCTCCATGAGGTAAGTTCATTGAAGAGCTCTCTTTTGCCTCTTTTTGTAGCCTCAGAACTTAGCATAGTGCCTGTTACATAGTAGGTGCTTAATAAATGTTTATTGATTGAGATTTTGCCATAAGAAATTATGAATGCTGTCATTTCAGAGGAACTCAGAAAGTCCTAAACAGATGCAGAGTGAAATGAGGAGACCAGAAGCACAATTTATACAATAAGAACAACATGGTAGAGACTAACACCTTTGAAAGACTCAAGAGCTCTGATCAATACAATTGCCAATGACATTTTCAGAAGTTTCATGATGAAGTATGCCACCCACCTTCTTACTTAATGGAGACATACACACACACACACACACACACACACACGTAAATAAATGTGGGGATTTGTTTTGCAATTTACAAGTACATGTACATATGTATATATATATATACATACACACATATAGTTATTATCACTATTGCTTCTTTAAAACCCAGCCCATCAAACTTGTGGGAAAGAATTGGGTATAATGGAAAAAACATGAGAATGCTAGTCAGGCATGTATGTTAAAAAAAAAAAGTCATATACCCTGAGATTGCTATGGTAGCTGTGAAGGTCTGCCAAAAACCTGAAGCATTCAATTTGTCTTTGATGATGCAAATGATTGGGATAATACCCTGACCAATATAATGCAACTCCTCTCATAAATCTAAGCAATAGGTTGTTTTACTAGTTTTTAGAACAACAGGTACAGTTGAGGGTTTAAAAAAAACCTTCCAATTTAATTAACCTCTTTTCTGAATTTCAACATTTCTATTTCTGTTTGGTTTACTTTTTTATTTGTTGCTATTAAATTTTCAGGTCAGATTCTTTAATCCCTTCATTTACTCTTTTATTGATTAAAGCATTTAGAAAGATAATTCCTCCCACCTTCCACCCCAGAAGTGTTCTGGATGCACATCATGCTTTAGGTATGTTGTCTCATTTTCTTTAATGAAATTATTTTTTATTTCTATGATTTGACCCATCAATTTTCAAGGAAATTTTTTGAGTCTCCATTTAAGATTGACTTCTTACTGCAAAAGTTCTTTGTTGATTATGATTTTGCTTGGTTGTAGTCAGTAAGGGATGTGTTTAATATTGCTGCTTTTCTTTGTTTTTGTGGTTTAATGCCTTAACACAAAAATGATTATTTTCTTTTATAAAGGTGACTGCCATGCATAACTGAGATAATTACATACTCGTGGCAGTTCTCATTCAGTAACTGCTCAAGCGTCTACACAATCTAATCTTTTTAAAGTTCTTTTCAGAGACTTACCTTCTTTCTTATTTCTCTTTTTGTCAGATTTATCTAGATCTGAAAGGGCCACATAAGGTCTATAGCAATTGTTTGCTGCCCATTTCTCTTGTATGATTTATTTTTTTTTCTTTAGGTACTTAGAAGTTAGGCCACTTGTAGGGTGTGTGTCTCTGGGTGTGTACATATGAATTCAATGCCCTATTTTAATTCAGTATGAATCTTTATATTTCAAGTCTCTCATAAATATATTGTTCGGTTCTTTTTTATTTCAAATTCATTCTGTTACCTTCTTTTTTTACTGGTTTATCTCATTTAAATTAAGCATCTACTACATACCAAGTACTCTGCTAAGCACAAATATGGAAAATAAAGGAAAAATAGCTTCTGCCCTCAAGAAGCTTATGATTGAGTGAGGAAAGAACATACCCCAGAGAATCTGACCTGGAGCAGGGAGCATGATGGAGAACCCAGAGAAGTCCTAAAGTAGTGCAGCTGTGTGGGAAATTAGATGTCTATCCTGAACCCTTTGCTTAAATGGAGGTTTGGGAGTTCATGTCTCTGCCCTTCAGTATGAGAGGCAGAGGGTGATGATGTGGTATAAGGGCCAAGGCTGATTTGATCTTGCAGGATGATGGGTTTTCCCAACGATAATGACCTGGGGGAATGATGGTGAGGTCAGAGATACCCTAAAGGAGCTTAGCCACGTGGGAAATCAAGAACATTCACTATTTGTATTCATAATTATGGCTGTTAATGGTGAATTTCCCTTTATCATATCCATACACACACACACACACACACACACACACACACACACACATATTGCTTTCTGTCCCCCTTTTTACTAAGAAGAACATGGTAAAAGTGAGGGAATGTAATCAACATTAGTAATCCATAACTAGGGTGGTCTGTTCCCACTCTAGTGCTTCTTTACTTTGACCAGACCCCAACCTCTGGTTCTTATATTTTTTTTTTTGTGAAGCAATTGAAGTTAAGTGACTTGCCCAGAGTCACACAGCTGGTGACTGTTATGTGTCAGAGGCCAGATTTGAACTCAGGTCCTCCTGACTTCAGGGCCAGTGCTCTATCCACTGTGCTACCTAGCTGCCCCCTTGTTCTTATACTTTTGATCCACCCTCAGTGCTGGAGTTTGTTTCGTTTGTGCCTATCTACTCTCACATTCTTTCCTTAAAACATCTCCCATCTCCCTTTCCCTATTTTCCTATTGAATTTGATGTATTTTATGCTTAACTCTTTGTGTGCCTCTTTTCAACCTTTATTTGTCTGACTCAGATAGAGAATTTCATCAGATGACCACTCCTCTAGCCCACTCTATCTTTGCTGAAGTATATGTGAAAGATCTGGGCTCTTCTACAATTTTTCATGTAGTTACCTTAACTAGAAGTCGGACCTCATCCTTTAATCTTGTTAACCTCGACCAGCTTCCTCTTGGCCAAATCCTCTATGGACATAAAACAAATAAACAAATAAGGCTTTGTAAGACTTCAAAAAAGAAGTGACAAAAAACATGACCAAAAGAGGAAAGCCCACCCAGGCAGTATGAGTAGAAGGCAGTCATGAGGTTGGTTTGTGATTGGGCAGTTAAGTTCTCCTTAAAGAATTAGCATAATCTAGAGTGTGGGTAATCTATTTGCAAGTAATTGAGAGATAACTGAGCAGAAATCAAAAGTCAACTTGCGGACTAATTTTATCTTTTTTTTCAGTTACTAGTATCATTAGATTATCTATAATTTTGTTTAAATTGTATATTTACAAATGTAATATTAAAGAGTTGAAAACAGCAAAAACTAACCATATGAAAAAACATACCTTTAAAAATAATAAGAGTATAGTGAAGTGATGCTGAAGGGAGACATGGAACTTTTTACTTTAGAAAGAGACACTAATAAGGAAGTGGTTGTTTTTCTAGTTCCTGGGAAAATAATTCAATATTTGGGTTTTGTTTGTTCAGCTGAATAAGTGGTGCTTGCTACTGCAGCTAGACTATGGGTTTTCCTCTGGGCACTCTTGGGGACTTCAATTGAGATGGAGCTCTTGTTTTCTTACCCCACAGACTGTGATAAATATAGCATTTTTATTACACAGTTTGTTCCTAATAGTTTGAAACCAACTACACATATGACATAGCCTTTAAAAAGACACATTATAAAATGTTGTCATAATTGATACATATTCTCCCTTTCTGTCCTGTGTAAAATATAAAAATGCTATTGGTACATGTTTTTGATTCGCATATCTGTTGGGTGTTTGTCCAGCTGTTTGCTACTCTCTACTTATTTCTATATATTTTCCCAAATCAAAATTCTCCTTTGATGGGAAATAATTATTTATTCTGACTTTTACAATACCCACTGTAGAATCAATATTGAATCACCTACCTCCAATCCTTTCAAATATCAAATATTTTACCAATAGTAAATCCTTTAAAAAAAAACCCCAAGAATCACAACCCACATACCACCTGAAACACAGCACCTAAATTTAGCTTTTATGTAAGGAAAATAAATGCTGGAAAGTAAAATCAAACATTTAATTTTGTTTCCATCATAAAGCATTATGAGAGTTGTATGGTGGAGTACTAAAATTAAACTCAACAAAATACCCATTGGGGAGATGTTAAATTCCCTCTCTTAGTAGTATTTCAGCTCTCGGTATCCAACTTAGGACATATACTCTCTTTGCCTTTAAATTTCAGGATCTACAAACTATTACGTGTTTGCCAGGATTTATTTCCAAGGATTATTATGTTTTAACATGCAAAATTAAATTTTTAAGTAATAACTACCATTATGTAACCGAGTACCTTACATACATTATTTCATTTGAGCCTTATGACAACCCTGTGTGGTAAATAGTACTGGTAGATTTTCTCCATTTTACAGATGAAAAAACTAAGGCTTAGAAAGATTAAGTATCATGTCCATGATCATAGAGTAAATAAGCATCAGACATAAGATTTGAATCTAATCCAAAAAATATTTCACCTACTATATAGCAGGCACTGTGCCTGGCATTGTGGATACAATTAATAAAAAGCAAAAAAATCCCTGAGCTCAAAGACCTTACAAATTAATGGGGGAGACAACACACAAAAAGAAGCAGGAAAGTGGGAGGGGGAGAGGTCAATGGGTCCCCAGCATCATGGCATCTTTTTCAGTGGAATTAAAATCAGGCAGAGCAACAGATACGGAATAGAGTGAACAGAGGGGGAAAAGTCCAGTTTCTGCCCTTCATTAAGGAAGGCATAAAGAGGATTTTGGCATTCCACCTTCTAACCCTCTGGTCAGAGAGGAGAGGAGTCCAAGGTATCCAGGTCTTCCTAACTTTTCAGTTCAGCACTCTATTTACCAAGCTACCTTGTAAGAAAATATCCTTATATGCAACAAGACCATCAACTCCATTTCCTCTCTTGTAATGGTATTTCTCTATAGACCAGAAGTGACACTGTTCTCAGATAGAATATAAGTTCCTCAAGAGCAAGGTGTGTTTCATGTTTGTTGTTGTAGCCCCAGTTCTGGGCATACTGACACTTAATAGGGATAGGCACAGGATCTGTGATTTCATTGACATGAGTAACTCACAGTTAAGGAGATTTCCTCTACCAATGTGGTCAGTACCTTCTCTGCCAATTTATATTCATAGAAAGTGGCCTGTAGCATCAAGAGATTAAGTTACTTGCCCACAGTCATAGAGCCAGTATGTGACAGAGGCAGGATTTGGACCCAGATCTTCCTTCCTCTGAGACCAACTTTCTGTCCACCCAAATTTTGCAGATACTTAATAAACAATACATGCTTACTGATGGACTGATTAATTACTCTCTTCCCTTGAGATAAGAGAACTGAAATCATACTTTTTTTTTTCCTGAGGGTGCTGTTCTCCATACTAGATATGGTTGCTTGTAGTATTGTCTGTGAATATTAATTAATATGGAAGTTAATTAGTCTGCCCTTGGATATCAGCATGTCTCTTTGACAATTGTGATAGAAATGGGTGTCTCCTTTAACTCTGCTCTTTGTTTTAACCTGTCAAAATCTTGGATCAATCGTAAATGTGCTGTGCTTCAAGAAAAACCATTGGGCAAGAATCTAGATTCATAAAATGGGTTTTATCATTTCTAGGCTATCAAGGGGTCGCATAGAATGAGATTTTTGTCTTTTGTTTATTTGACTATTTGCCATAGGTCTTGGAAACCTTAATAACACAACTTGTAAAACAGTATGTTCTAAATTTTAAAAATGTAAATGAAACTGATTTTAAACAATTTCAAACTCAAAAAATAGGCATCCTCAAACTCAATAATCCTTTTTTTAAAATGAGCACTTTTATTTCTTTGTTTCACAAATAAACTGTCTGAGATAATTGTTTCCTGTTTGCTAATCAAATAGACCAAATCCCATATCTTCATCAGACTCTTCTGATTCTTCATGGGTTTCCACCTTGGCAGGAGTGGCAACAGCAGGTGCAGCAGTAGCTGGAGCAGCGGCCGCAGGGGTGGCCACTGCAAATATTGAAGGATCGGCCAGGAAGGCCTTCACCTTCTCAGCAAGTGGGAAGGTGTACTCAGTCTCCACAGCTACAGCCAAGACCCACTTGTACCCATTGATGATCAAGTGGGGTACTGATGCAACAGTCGGGTAACCAATCTGCAGACAGACGCTGGCAACATTTTGGACACCCTCTAAGAACCGAAAGTGCAAAGTCTCCTTCCTGATGTCCAGAACTTCAGGGTTGTAGATGCTGCCATTGTCAAACACCTGCTGAATGATCAGCCCAAAGGAGAAGAGGGAGATGTTCAGCATGTTCAACAAGGTGGCCTCGCTGGCGCCCACTTTGTCTCCAGTCTTAATCAGCTGCACATCACTCAAGATTTCAATGGTGCCCCTGGAAATCTTGGTGGTGATACCCAGAGCCTGGAAGAAGGAAGTCTTCTCAGGACCTGGACCAGTGTTCTGGGCTGGCACAGTGACATCACAGGGGGCAATGGTACCGGCACGAGCAGCAGTTGGCACCTTATTAGCCAGAAGCATGTCCCTAATCTCCATCAGATCTTCCTTGGTGAACACAAAGCCCACATTTCCCTGAATATGAGGCAACAGTTTCTCAAAGGCAGGGTTGTTCTCCAGATGTCCATGAATGGCTTTGCACATCATGGTGTTTTTTGCCATCAGTACTACGGCCTTCCCACAGAGGGATATCCGGATCTGCTGCATCTGCTTGGGGCCCACATTGTCTGCTCCCACAATGAAGCATTTTGGATAATCATCCCAAAATTGGATGATCTTGAGGAAGTAATTGGATTTCCAGGTAGCCCTGTCTTCCCTGGGCATCTCAAAGGTGCTTCAGGGATTGCCACATGGTGTTTAAAGACAATGTCACTCATACTAGGATGCCTGGGGAGCCAAACTTAATAATCCTAAATCACATTTTCTATATTACAGATCATTAGCTATGCTATTTAAGGAAATAGCTTCTATTTTTCTTATATTAGATTAATGATAACTTTTTTCCTTTTTTTCTCCTTGGAGGAGAGTAGAGATTTCACTTCTCTTCTTGGTCTTTTCTTAATAATTTTAAATTTTCTGCACTCTTGTAAGTCATGTAGTCCTTCTAACGGAGTTGATTGCAATGCATTTATGCTGTCTCATCTTGTGTGACTCTGTTCTTTGTTTTACAATACTTCTTCCATAGAGGATCTACCCAATGCATGGGAGTCCTTCCTTGAGGTCTTGTAATATTCTGCAGACACCAGTGCAGAATTATTTGCCCATTTACTATCCCTTGTTCTCACTAAATTACCAGCTCGCCTTGTGTGATCCAGTATTCTCTTCATGATGCTTTATGAAAACTTTCTTAAAAGTAAGTCATAGTTGAGAGTAAACATGATTGACACAGAGAGAGATTTAGAGCTGGGAATGCATGAGTTCAGTCCTTCCTCTGACACCTATTGGCTGACTCACCTTGGGCAAATCAGTTCACCTTCACTGCTCTAAGTCATGCTCTTGTTAGATCCCGAAATACAACTTTGAGTTTTGTAATAGTATTCATCTTAATTAATATATACTACTGGAGCTATAAATAAAGTGGCTGATGCCACCGGACTTGCCCTCCAATGGGTCTTTGTAAAAAGATTCCAATTATAAGGCCCCTCAAGATAGCATCATGGATTAAAAGCCAGTCTCAAAGTTAAAAGAGATTCTGGATTCATGATTCTCTGACACATACTGTCCATAAGACCTTGGATAAATCACTTAACCTCTTAGGGATCTATTCAATTCTCTAAAGATTTTAAATTGCAGAGAAGGTTCTGACTTGCATTCAGTAGAATTTCTTTATCTGGAAGTGACCTTTATCAATGACATCGCAGTTCCAGTCCTGTATACCTAGTCATAGATAATAGTATACTTCTCCCCATTGCCCTTTGGGTCATTCACTACTCTT